GGATGCGGTGCTGGGTGGGCTGGGGGCGGGTAGGCGAGTACGCGGAGCTGAGAGGGAAGCAGCGGCCCCTGTTTCGACCCCCTCAGGGTGTTGGGTGTGAAGTTGTTTTATTTCGCCCGTCCCAGGGAGCGGGGCGGGCGTTGGTTGGGTCTGCAGGCTTCATTCCGGCGCGTGTTCCGTACCGAAAGGACTCATTAGCGGGGTTAGGGGAGGAGCAGGCTGATTATTTGGTAGGGCAGATTCTTCCTGGCGTCGTTAGTGTTTCTATTCAAGGGATCCTGCGCCGCTTACTCCAGCGGATAGCACCGAAACACAGAAGTAAATGGTTTGGGATGAGGGGTTTCTCACCACCTCTTTTTTTTCTGGAGGATGCCGCGGCGAGCAGAGAGGCAATTAAGGCCGTTGGCGTCGCCTCTGGGGTTCGTCACGCCGAATCGACCGGGCAGCACCGCACGGTGGAGGTTTTAATGCCGAGATCAGCCCGAGCGCCCGGCTGACTCGCCGTGTCAGACATGACATGCATAGTCTGAGCCCTGGCTTTGGGAAGGCGCCTTCCCTTCCCGCGAGGTGGTTAATTCAAAAATCCCGCAGTCGCCGGTGGCCGCCGGGCTTCTGTCCACGCTTTCAATTCCGTCCCTTCTTGCGAACACCGCCCGTCCCAGGAGACCCGAGCGCCCGCAGCCCCTCTGATGGTGCTTGGGGGCAATACGGAATGGCGGTGGCGCAGGCTCCTTGCGTAATTTTTGCACGATGAAACCTGTAACACCAGGAGGAGCTGGGCCGTAGCGAAGCGACTGGAAGCTGGAGAAGGGGCTCGGAGCGAGGCGAGTCCCCTGTGAGGCCGAGCGCGCACGGAGACGTGGGGAAGGGATTGAGTAGCCGAAGGTGTGCTGCATGGGGGAGCTGAACTTCATCTTTCCTGGCACCTGGGCCCTCGGTGGCTGCTCTGCAATGAAGATTTTGAAAAAAGATTGCTAATTCTCACCCGGTGATGGGAGCCTGAAAGCCATTTACAAGATTAAGGACTAGAAAGTTGGTCGCTGGAACTTCGGCGAGCTTGGGAAAGTTGAGAAAATCTTGCTCATGGGGCTGAAACGGGTAAGGGCGGCGCGAGGAAGAATTTAACCGTTCATCTGTAGCCTTAATAAGAGGCTGACCTTTCCATCATGCTCACAGTTCTGTCACTGCATTTGGAGGCATCTCGGTTTAAATGCTACATCAATGTCTGGGAACCGCGGAAGTCAATGGTGTGTCTCAAAATCGCGTACGAGTTATTTAGAGGAGGTGAGGGCAAGAACATGAATCAGCAGCTGGGGAGATCAGCTGAGCTAAAGCAGAAAGGGCAGGGACCAGGCGAGCGGCCCCGCCGAGCGCCCTGGCGGCCTCCCTGCCCGCCGGGAAGCCGTGCGGAGGCACCGGGGCTCTTGGGCTTCCCGGGCTGCGCGCGGGGCTCGGGGCGTCGAGCGAATGCCCTCGTGGGAAATCTGCCGGGGGCTTCGTGTGGCCTCGCTGGCGGGGGGCTGGTGGAGCAGAGGAGGGCGATGAAACCTCTGGGGTCCTGCTGTCGGCCCCTGCCCGGGCACCCGTGTTCTTCCCGAGGCCAGGCGTGGCCAGAGCCCCGGTTTGAAGCACGTTCTGTCGCAGCGAAGCACGTCTGTGAGCAGCTACGTCCCTTTTCTGTAGCCAGCCTGAAATTTAGCCTGCTCAGGCCTCTGGCAGGAAAATTTGAGGGCGAATTTGTGATCGCAGCCGCTCATGAGGATCTCGGCGAAACGGTAGGGCCTGCAGATTTATGTGACCTTTGCTCGCTGGCGGGGAGCAAACCTGTTGGTGATGGCTGTCTCGATTATGGGTCTCTTTTGGAACATAGAAGCATTACCTTGGAGATCAGGGCTGGCAGGGAACACAAGCTGCTGGATCTTCAAACCCATTTATCAGTCTGCTTGCCATTTGTATCTCTGGGAGGAGGAAATTGTGAACCACGCTGCTGGAAGGCTCTGGGGCTTTCGTTAACTCTTTATTGCTGGGCCCAGTAAAAGGTTCACCTGGAAACGGAGGAGCGGTACCTCCTGGGGCTGGGCTGCTTCAGCGATCCTCTGTTGGCTCGTGGTTTTTTGGCTCGTGGTTTTGACCCGTGGCCGGTTGGTTTTAACTGAGCCGGAGCTGGGGAGGGAGTCGGCTTCTGGAGTTCGTGGGAAGCGGTGGCAGCGCAGGCTCAGCCGGGGCGGGCGCGCAAAAAAGGTCCTCAGGCAGGGCTGGGCTATCGCCCCTTCTGCCCTCAGCAGCCAGTAATCCCCTGCCCGCCGCGTGACAGAATTAGCCAGCGAGCCCCCGACGTTCCTGGGATTTCAATTTTCTCCTTGGCAAAGCAGCAGCTCGGCGCTGACCTCTTGCCTTGCGTCTTTCTAAAAGCCTCTCGGTGCCTCTGGTTCAGAAGAGACCTTCCCTCTCCTTTGTCTCCACAGATCCGTCTGGGTTTATTTTTGATGTGCAGTCCAATACTGTGATGGCCCAAGGAGGAACCTTTGAAAACATGAAGGAGAAGGTAAATGTGTCTTCTGAGACTTTAACTCGCCACGTGCCGTGGAAGAGCTCCCGAACGCTGTGTCTTCATCTCCTCTCTGAGGTGAAATACGGTTCTGTCTGGGAGCTAACGGCCGCTCTGTCAAAAGCAGAATCGTGTTCAGGCTAAATCGCCCTGGCACATGAAAGTTTGATAAGGGAGGCATCGGTCAGGGTTTCAGAGTGCTTGCGGCAGGGTTGCTGGAGGCTCCGTGCGGGGTAAGGCACGTGGATTTACCCGTTCCCCTGTTCTCTCCCCTCTAGATCAGCGCGGTGCGAGCGATAGTCCCCAACAGGAGCAACAACGAGATCGTCCTCGTGCTGCAGCATTTTGACAACTGCGTGGACAGAACCGTGCAGGCCTTCATGGAAGGTAACTGCGGCCGGTGGCCTGGCGGGGTTCGGGCCTCGCTGGCTCGTACGGGCCGTGTTCGTGGAGCTCTGGGCAGCGAGCGCCCCGGGGAGCAGAAGCTCGGGGGGCTTCTCAGCGCGTCCGAGCGCCGGCTCTGTCCAGGGGTGACGAACGGGGGATGCTCTGCCCCAGCCTTAGCCGGTGTTTGGCCAGCGGGGGGGGCAAGGCAGAGCCGGGCGTTCGGTAGCCCTTTGGGTTTGATGCTCCGTTCCCTCAACTCTCGTTCCTGCGGACGGAACGGGAGCGTCCAGCGCCGGGAGGGGCCCTGTGCGGTTTGGAGCCGGGCTCCCAAACCTCCTCTCGGGTCTGTGCTGCGTTCGCTGGGTTTTCTGCCCCGGGGAGAAGGGGCTGTTGCTGTGACAGCGCCTGTCGCTTTGCAGCTCGTGTCCCCGCGCTGGCCACCGCTGACAGCTGCGCTTTGCCTCGGGCCTCCCCAAGGTATGACAGCTGCTCCTCGGGCCGCGGGCGTCCTGACACACTCGGGGTCCCTGGGGAGAGGAGGCCAGCGGATAGCTGACCCCAGCGCAGCCCTCCCCGCCAGCACGTGCTCCAGCAGGGCTCCGAGTACCTCAGCCTTCAGTGTGACAGGGCCACAGAGAAGATTTCTCCCGCCCCACCCCCCGTTTTGTCCCAGGAAAGAGCTGGCACCGTGTGGGAAGGGAGCAGTCCCGTTCAGCAGTGTGTTTCCAAAGCGAAAACGAAACTGGTCCCACGTCCCGTCAGCTCAGAGAACCGGAGCCCGGCCGCGGGTGGTGCCGCCGCTGGCTCCGGGGGCGGAAAAAAAAAGGGTGCCGCGGCCGGGAAGGAGCTGGCGTGGGTGCCGCGGCCGCTGCTCATCACCGCCTTTTGTTGCAGGCAATGCCAGTGAAGTGCTGAAGGAATGGACTGTGACAGGCAAAAAAAAGGTAACGCTTTTGAAATACACCTTGCCAGGGCATTTATCTTTTCGTTTGGAGGGTTCAGACCACGGAGAAGAGCAGGCATCCCCCCTGGTTTAGGGGGGGAAGAGCAACCAAAGAGCGAACGCGTCTGTCAGTGTCAGCAGGCCTGACGCACGGCGGTAACGGCCGGGCTGTCGGGTGCCGCGCTGGTCAGGGCCGTGATTTACCCGGCAACTTCCCTGCAAGTTGTGAACATCGCCTTCTCGCCGCGTTTGCGTTCCATTTAGTTGTCAGCCGCGTCGTGGCGAGGGCAGCAGCTGAAAGAAAAGGGTCTGGGCTCCCTGTCCTTGCAGCCGCTCTTGTTCTGCAGGACCCCGGGTCCGCACGCGCAGCCCCACGCCGGAGTAAATCTCTGTCGGGTCCATTTATTTCCGCGGGGCTCTGTAATTCACTGCTGGGGCAGTCGTGCTCTTCCATTTTTCATCGGTAACCTTTGGAGCCGAACAGTTGCATTTAATGCTGAGCTCTGTGGAAATATATTTCTTTGTCACGTAAGCTTTCTGGAGTGTTTTGCCTCGTTCTTTGCTCAGCCCTCTGCGAGAGGGTTAAATAAAGATTTGCAAAGTTTCAGCACTTGATATTATAATGTCTAAATCCACCCGGACAAGAATAAAATCATAATTATTCAAAAGGCCTCCTCTGAATACGTGAAAAGCACCAGCGTGAAATGGAGAGGGAAAAAATGTGACTGAACAGCCCCGTGTTGGGGAATGGGGGAAGTTTTCTCCGAGCGAGGTCTAGCAGAGCCCCCTCGAAGCTGCCCCTCGCCAGCGAGCACCCCCAGAAGGGACGCGGCCGGTGCCGTGGGTTACGGCCACGAACCGCCCCGCTGTTCCCCGTCCGTTGTGCAGCCTCCACCCGATAACCGTGGCTCTCGCTGGCACGCCACCGGGGAGGATAATGTATTCGCGCCTCATTAATGCCACTATATCTGTCCTCATTGTTGAATAAATCCCTCCTACTGTTAATAGGATCAACAGCCGGGCTGGCTGAAAAAGCATTTAATTCAGCTACTTTCAGCCAGTAAGCAGGAGCTTAATTTTCCCTTCAGGAATTAAGCTTAACATTTTTTTTTTCCCCCCCGCTTTGTGGCATGGATACCTAATCCTCAGAACAAGAAGAAGAAAACCAAACCGAAACCGCAAGCCGAATCGAGCCCTGGCCTCCCAGACCCCGGTAAATCGGTGCCCGCTGAAGAGGAGCAGTCGGCGAACTCGGAGAAGGGTGGAATTAACGGTTTCCATGTCAACGGCTGTGCCCAGGACACGGAGTCCGTGGACTCGCTCAGCGAAGGTTTGGATGCGCTTTCGCTTGACGCCCGGGAGCTGGAGGATTGCGAGGCGGCCGCGCCGGCCATGCCTGACAGAACAGGTTAGTCTGCGAGGCGGCGCAGCCGCCGGGCAGCGGGCGCTGGGAAAGCAGAGGAGCTGCCTCCTGCCTTGCCCTGTCCCCTCCCCGTCCCGGGTCAGCTTTGAGCGCGCTCGGTTTGGCTGGCGCTCGGGGCAAGAGCAGCTCGCCCTGGTTTCGGAGTGTTTCTTTTTACCCCGCTCGTGGTGGTGAGGAGGCGGTCAGTGTTCTGCTCCCCTCTCGCCTTCCCCTTTCAACGCGTGTGCTTTTCTACAGCAGTGCCTGAACTAGAGAATGGGATAGCAGACTTTGACACAAACTCGCTCATCATGCATCCTTCCCAGAGCCCTGCGTCTCTCCGGCAGCGGCCTGAGCAGAGGAGCGCTAGCAGGTCTCTGTCCAGATCGGCAGCGAGCAACTCCGCTCCCGCGTCCCTGCCCGTCCCGCGGCGGGAAGAGCTCCCGGCGTTCCCCGCCAACAAGAAGCTGGGTAAGGCCCTGAGGCTCTGCGCCCTCGCCGGTGCCGGAGCAGGTTGCTGCTGGCCAAGTTCTCGCCGCCTCTTCTGCCGTGTCAGGGCCGGACTTTGATTTTAATGCGAGCTAACACGCTGCTTATTATCTGGCCGGTGACTTGCGCTGCGCTGCTCCTCCTCCTCCTCCTCCTCCTCCCTGCGCACAGCAGGAGTCCTGACAGCAGTTTAGATGCAGTGCCCGGAGCGGCAAACCCGTGTGCGCGAGAGAGGCGAGGGAGGGCGCAGCCCGTCGCGCTGCATCCGTTTAGCCCGTTCTTCTGGGCGCTCCGTCGCGGCGCCTTTAGGTTGTTTCTCATCTTGTGTGAGAATTTCTCGAAAGGCCACAAGTTCGGCCCGGCCCTGTTACACGAAGTGACAGCCGCCGCCTCCTGGAGGTTTGGGCGGTTTTGCCCCCCGCCTTCCGTCTGCTTTCTCCGCAGCTGAGCTCTTACGATAACAAGGGGGGACAGGAGGGACCTCGGAGACCCCAGCGGTGGTCGCGGGTGTCGCGCTCGGCCTGGGGAGACGGGGTGGGGGGTGGGGGTTCACCTCCGTGCCGCGTGGGCACCTGCGCCGAGCGGTTGTTAATGGAGCTTGGCAGGGGGCAACTGCGCTCCAGAGAGCGTGGGCAAGGCGCTGCGCCCCGCCGCGGGGGGCTGAGCGTGGCAGCCGTAATCCTTTCATCTCCTGATCTGAGGAAATAGCCTTCGTTTTCGTTTCCAGATAATTCCCTTCCCTGGGCAAACAGTCGTTTCCTATCGTGGTGTGTGGCGCTCTGGTGCAGACTGTTGCACTTGCCTGCAGTCCCTAGCACAAAAGCGACCCCGAGATGCGTTTGATTCCTCTCAGGTGTTTGAAGAGGTGGAGGGGCGTCGCTGCCCACCGAAGGAAATCCGACGAGCCTTGGGAAAACTTTCCCCCATGAGAAAATCTCTCCAACTGTCCCCGCTGAACCTGGTGCTTTTGTCATGGGGAAGGGAAAGAAAAGTGTAAACCCAAGCAGTGCGTAGTTTTGGAATAAGAGGGGAAAGCCATCGTTAGCTTTGTCCGCGCCAGGAGGATTCAGCGGTGTGATTGACACGGCTGTTGAGTTCCCTCTGTCTCTTGGTAGGTTCTAATATTGAAAAATCCGTGAAGGATCTCCAGCGCTGCACCGTGTCGCTGGCTCGGTACCGGGTCGTGGTGAAGGAGGAGATGGACGCCTCCATTAAGAAGATGAAGCAGGTCTTTGCAGAGCTGCAGAGTAGGTGAGTTGAAGGTCGGGGCAGACCCAGGGGCGAAGGCGTAAGACCGGCACGTCTGGAGTAAGGCTCCAGCTTCCCCGCCGGGGCCGGCCCCGCCGCCCGGGCCCTGTCCCTCAGCGGCTGCGGGGGCAGCAGCGCGGCGTCGAGAATCGACCGGGGCCTCTGCGGGGGTTG